TGTATTGTATTGTATTGTATTGTATTGTATTGTATTGTATTGTATTGAGGCCTCAGCAGTCCCACCCTTTCTCCTCTGGTTGGTACCCCTGCCCTCATCCGACCCCATCTTGCACCTTTTTCCTTTCCCTTAATTCAGGGTGGATGAGAAGACAAGACATGATGGCCCAACCCCTACTAAAATGGAGAAATCTGAGGGACAAAGAGGTCCTATAAGGGCTGAGCCTGTATCAGAGTGCCCTCTGCCTCTAGCCTAGGGCTCTCTAAACAGTTCTTTCCCAAACTGGCCTTTTATGGGAATCACCTGGTGGGTTTCTCAAACATGTCGATAATCAGGACTTCATCCCAAACCTATGGACTCAGAATGTCTAGGGTTGAACCCAAGAATGTATGGTTTAAAACACTGGACAAGTTTGGGGGTCTCTGGGAGCCCATCGAGAAGGGAGCAGTGCTGTGTGATGCTCTGTCATGCAGGGGTCCGCGTGCTGCCTGGGAGGAGGGCCTGGGTTTGGCCAATGAGTGGCAGACAAGTCCTCTCTCTGCTCCTGAGAACTGGTTTCCTCATTAGTAAAGTAGGGTGGGGATTTCTACCCCAAAGGGGTGATCTGGGAAGGAAATGAAGCCATTTTTGGGAAAGGCCTGGCGCCTGCTAAGACATTTGTGCAGGGTTGACGGCTCCAAGTGTAGGCCACAAGAGTGGGAGGTCCTAGTTCCCATCTCTGGGCCCTTGCTCCAGATGCTTCTCCCGGGTCCCTGGAACAGGCCCCAGGCTCAGTGAAGGTCCAGTCGCTTTCCCATCTGTCCAAGTCTCCCCTCCCATTGAACTGCCCAGTGGCCACAGCCTGACCTTGGCTAAGCACAGCTGCTCTCATAGACAGACTGACACCATTTCTCTGAGTGAGATGCCAGTTATGCAGGCAGGGTCCAAACTAAGTAAGTTTGGGGAACAGTGAATTGAAGTTACACCACTCAGATTTCAATTTTAGGCATTCGCAGAGCCTTTGGGGTACGCCTGGATAGGAGTCCCCTAGGGAATCTGTGTCTCAGAACACTCCTATTTGCTCAACCCGGGGACATCGCATGGGCAAAGCGTTTTAAACATCAGTGCCAAGGCCTGTGCGGAGGGGAAATATGCATTCAGATCTTTAGGTTGCTTCTTTCAGATACTCAAGTGGTGAATGCCAGCTCCCTCCTGGGGTCTTTCTTCCTCCCCTGAGCTATGCCCAAGCCAGGGACAGTTATTTCCCCAAATTAGAGAAGGCGTGAGGGCCATCGATCCCATTCCACAGCTCTGCCCAGACAGATGCAGGGGGCAGAGCCCGGCCAGTGCCTGCTGGTGGCAGCCCTCGGGCTCAGGAAGAGAGCCAAGGACAATCCCGTGTCCCTTAAAGGTGCTGGCTGTGAAAGGGATGGAGGCAATCAGGGAGCAGTGAAGTGAGCATGTCAGGGACTAGGTGGACAGCCAGGATGCTCAGGGCTTGCTTCAGGGATTGTTCCCACCTCCTCTGGACCTCCTCAGAGAGCCATGCTCTGAACCGGGCATGGGGAAGAAAGGTCTCCTGAAGTGTCTCCTTTTTTATTTGGCTCAGACACAGGTGGTTTTTGTTTGTTTACTTGTTTGTTTGTTTGGTTGGTTAGTTGGTTTCTTTGAGACAGGGTTTTTCTGTGTAACAGCCCTGACTGTCCCGGAACTTATTTGTAGACCAGGTTGGCCTCAAACTCACAAAGACCTGCCTCTGACTCCTGAGTGTTGGGATTAAAGGCATGCGCCTTTAATTGTTTTTTTATTTTTTAACTGTTACCAACATTTTCAAATGTGTAGATTTTATGTAAACGTCCATATTTCAAGCTTCTCCTGGAGAAAAAGATCAGATCTGGAAATGTGGGGCTCACACTCCCGTGTAGCACTAGGGAGCCAGGGAGGAGCTGCCCACGTCAGAGCCCTGGCCTTATCCACCCTCTGTTCTAGCTTTGCTTGAGTGTCTTTGAGTTTAAGAATCTGTGTGAGCTGGGCATGATATCTTTAATCATAACCCTGGGAGAGGCAGAAGCAGGTGGACCTCTGTGACTTCGAGGCCAGCCTCGTCTACATAACAAGTTCTAGGTCAGTCAGGACTTATAATAGAAAGACCTTGTCTCAGGGCTGGAAAGATGGCTCAGCGGTTAAAAGCGCTGATTGCTCTTCCAGAGGTCCAGGTTCAATTCCCAGCATCCACATGGCAGCTCACAACTGTCTGTTACTCCAAGATCTGACACCCTCACACAGACACACATGCAAACAAAATACCAAAGCAAAGAAAAACAAGAATAAATAAATTATATTTAAAAAGACCCCTGTCTCAAAAACAAACAAGATCACCTTGGAAGCTTTGGGGACTGTTAGCTTCATGAGAGGTTACATCGAAGATTTAGATTCCTTGTGTGTCTTTAAAGAAAGGCCTTACCATATTTCAGCAATGCTGTATCACCATGCCCCCCCAGAATTCTGTCTGCCTTCCTTCTTTTCTTCCTGCATGTGGCATGCATGCATGTGTGCCCGTATATGTGTCCAGGAACACACACAAGATACCGCTGTCCTCTCTCCTATATTCCCCTGGGGTCTCGCACTGAACTGGCTGGCAGCCAGCATGCCCAGTGATCTTTTGTCTATGCTTCCCAACAGTGCTGCTTCTTACGTGGCTGCTGACGACCTGAACCCAGGTTTCATACCTTCATAGTAAATGCTCTTGCTCACTTAGCAATTTCCCTAGCCCCTTGGGAGTGTGTGTGTATGTGTGTGTGTGTGTAAGTGACCACAATTGCCTTCCTTCTTCCCAGTTATAAGGCTAGCATCCCATTTGTGGATTAGTTAAAATCCAGTGCTCTGTGTCTCAGCTCTACGACTCCAGCACACAGAAAGCTCTGCTTGGTGGTGCAGTGTTTTAGTACTTGTCCCCACTTTTGAGAAAGAGTCTCATGTAGCCCAGGATGGCCTCAAACTTGCTATGTAGCCAAGGATGACCTTGAACTGATTTTCCTGCCTTTGTACCCTAAGTACTGGGATGGCAGGTGTACGCCACTATTCCCAATTTATGCAACACTGAGGATCAAACTCGGGGTTTCATGTTTGCCGGGCAAGCACTCTACCAACTAAACAACATCCCCAGTCATTAATAATTATCTTAAAGGAAACAAAGCAAAGTTTTGTTTCAAGGAAGTTTTGAAACAAGGTGCTGGGTATTCTGTCCCCAAGCCCCTTAATCAGAGGAAGGGGATTTTTTCATTTGTTTGGCTTTATCGATGGGGAAATGCCTGCTCTGCTAGGAAGACATGGAAAGAGAAGGGAGTTCAAAACAAGAAAGAAAGTAGGTAGAGGAAGGAAAAGAAATAATTCACCACTGCACCTAACTTCAAGATAACTGCTGTTAACTTTTAAGTCTAATTCCTTCTGTAAAATGGGTTTTAAGGTGTTTTAAATACGGAGGTTTTTGACACATGGGTACTCTTTAATTTCTGGCTCCCATCCTTGGCTGGGTTTCAGGCTGTAAATCAGAGGGCTTGACTAAGAAGGAGGTGGTGGGGAATCCCACTTGGGGAATCATTAGGGGTGCCAGTACTTGTGGGAAACGTTTCTTAAATGACCCCAGCTTTTACTGCCTCTCCAGATATTGCACAAGTTAGGTCAGGGAGCCAAGGCCCGCCTGAGTGAGGTCTCTAGTCATGAGAGGGAGACCTCTTGTGGTCAAAAGCGATGCTGCTGCCCTGATGTAGGAAGGAGGTGGTGCTGTTCACACAGCCCCTGCTTTCTCGTTACTAATGATGGAGAAACTAAGACCCAGCGTGGCAAGCACTTACTCATTTTAGAATCAACCTGATTGTATTCAAATTCTGATGCTACCACTTCTTAGCAGGAGGGTTGTGAGTCATTTCACTTCTCAGAACCCCAATTTCATCAATAAAGTGGCTTACTCCCACTTGGTCAGGAGAGCACAATTGAATAAGCTATGCAAAGTCCTTAGCACAGAGTAAACGCATTATAGCCAATGCTTCTTTCTTCTCCAATGACATGGATAATGACCGTGAATTTATAATTGGATTCTCTGCTTTTATCAACAAGCACAATGATACTATAAAGTATGAACTGCTGTGATCTCATCTTTGGGGCACTTAGGGAAATGGCTCAATTGATGGAATAATTTCTGTGAAAACATGAGGACCTGAGTTTGATTCCCAGAAATCACATAAAAAAGCTGGGCATGGTGGGACACATGTCTGTAACCCCGATAGAGAGAAGGTAGACAGGCAGATCCCTGGAGCTTGCTAGTCAGCCAACCTAGCTGAATCGGTGAGTTCCAAGCTCAGTGAAAGATTCTGCCTCAAAAAATAAGATAGAGAGGGGCTGGAGAGATGGCACAGAGGTTAAGAGCACTGCCTGTTCTTTCAGAGGACCTAAGTTCAATTCCCAGCAAGCACATTGTGGTTCACAACCATCTATAATGAGATCCGGTGTCCTCTTCCGGCATGTAGGCACACATGCAGATAGGACACTGTATTAATAATAATAATAATAATAATAAAAATCAAGATGGGGCCCGGAGAAATGACTCAGTGGTTAAGAGCTCTTCCAGAGGACTTGAGTTCAAGTCCTACCACCCAACATGGCAGCTCATAACTGTCTGTAACGCCAGTTCCAACAACCATGGTAAAACACCAATGTACATAAAATAAAATCTTAACAAATTTAAGAGAAAAAAAAGCCCAAGATGGGGAACAATTAAAGATGACACCCAGAATCATCAACTCTGACCTACACACACACACACACACACACACCATAAAAATGAGGTTCAGAGACTCCATGTGGCTTGGCAAGTGTGTCATAGTCTCATCACTTTCATTGACCAGTGATAATAAACCAGTGATATGGCAAAGGTGGGTTTATAATTCCTCTCTGATCAGTTTATTTTGAAAGTCAGTTTATTTGTCCAGCCTCTAACACTGGGGCCCTGGGCTAGGGGATCTAAGTCAGTACAGTAAAGAAACAATCCAGGGTTCTTTCCCCTCCTCCATCCCTAGGCTACAGCTCCCACCACCGTCCAGCAGTGTGGGCCCAGCTTTCCTCTCTGGGCAGCCTGTCTGGTCAAGTAGTCACATCAGAGTGCTGTCTGGCTGTCCTTGTCCTGGCAGAATCCTGCCTTCCCGATCTGCCACAGCCATAGGGCCACTCCTTCCCTCTCCTGCAGCAGGGTCCACCCTTGCCTGCCCAGGAGATGATTCAAGGGCACAACTCCAAACAAGGCTCAGTGATGAGTGGACCACTGCCTGTCAACAAAGCCACCCTGAGAAGGAGACAGCTACTGCCAAAGGGTGGTTGGTGTGCACAGTCACGCTTTATTTATTTAAAGGAAAGGAAGCAAGGCAGAGAGGCTCCTGGTCTGTCGCGCCTGCCTCCATCAGTCTACCCGATCTGGAACTACATCCTCAAGCGCCTCAGCTCCTTCGCTTGCTTGGGGTTTTGTTTATTTTTCAAGACAGGATTTCTCTGTGTAGCCTTAGCTGTCCTAGAATTCTCTCTGTAGACCAGACTGACCTCGAACTTACAGAGATCCTCCAGCCTCTGCCTCCAAGTGTTGGGATTAAAGGTGGGTGCCACCACCACCGACTGGTTTGGGTTTGAGGCAAGGGCTCACTGTGTAGCCTTGGCTGGCCTTGGATTCACAGAGATCTGCGCGTCTGTGCCTTTCTCAGTATCTGCTGGGATAAAAGGCATGGACCACCATGCCTAGCCTAGCTTCACTTGTAAGCAAAGCTCAGGAGAACTGACTAGCCATTAGGTCCTTCAGCCATGCCACCTTCAGTCCCTGCCAGGATGCTGGACTCTGGCCAAACCCTGCAGTGGGGGATTGACTCTGGCTGTCCTTTGGCCACACAGGGCCTAACTAGTGTGGGTAGTTGGGGGTGGAGTGTCCTAATGAGGGTTCTGGCACACACTACACTTACACCACTTGCCACCATACATGAAGTATCTACTTCATCCTTCCATTTTGCAGAACTGTGGGGACCCTGAGTTAGACAAGGTGATTCCTGCCCTTGTGGAGCTCACATCCGGGGTGGGGAACAGGGGGCTAAAGTGAGAAAGCTCCCCAGAAATCACTCAAGATAGGGTAGGCGTCCCAGATGCTGGAGGAAAAAGCACCAGAGATCTATGAAACTTTGGACATAGCAAGGGTAGATCACTAGGACAGAATGGATGTCAGCCTCAGGGCATGGAAAGCCCAAGAATTAACAATGCCTTGACCAGTGCCTCCTTTGGCAGGTGCAGTTGGTCCAGGACCCAGCAACGGGAGGAACCTTCGTTCTGAAGGCAGGTGTTGCCCAGCTGCTGCCACATGGCAACTTCATTTGGAACTGTCACAGAGCTCTTAAGACCACTGCCCACCCTTTCCCCAGAACACACAGATGAGGCCCATGCTCCCTCTAAAGCCAAGGCTGCTTGTTCTTCTGGGCATTGCCCAAGGCTTTGCCTCCAAGGCTGAGATTCGTGCACATTATCTCATCCTCAGACATTAGACTCCGTGGGGCTGTGGGGTGAGGGCTGGGCCAGGGACTGGGAGAAGCAGTTGTTGCTCTGTCTGGCTTCCGATTCATATCCTAGTGTCCCGAAGCCGGAGCATGGGCGCTGTGAGCTCATGGACATACCCTGTCCCGTCTCCAGAGCCTTCCCAGGTGCCACGTGGTGAGCCGGGAGCGGCTGACTATCATCCCACATGGCGTCCCCTACATGACGAAACTGCTGCGCTACTTTGTGAGCGAGGACTCTATCTTCTTGCACCTGGAGCATGTGCAAGGTGAGGGGACCTGTGGGGCCCCGTCAACTCCCGAGCATTGGGGTGCATTCCTATTTTCCACACCCCAGAAAAGGATGCTGAGCCCCGAGGAGGGGTGCAGCTTGATCCAGATGTATGGCACAGACAGGGAACCCAGTCTTTCTGAAGGCTGAGGGCAGGGCCAGGCTGTAGCGAACCTGTGTGTGGTGCTGAGGCAGGGGGCAAGGGCATTTATTCAGCTGCCTTCTTGTTACCCTTTCCTTTAGTCTTGGCTCTTTGCGCTTTCCCAGTCACTGCCTGTCCCCAGTGGCCACAGAGCAGCTGGGAACGAAAACTGTCAAGGCGGGAACTGAGCTGTGTGGCCGATATTTAGTGACTTTAAAATGTGCGGCACATCTCGGGTCATGGCGCAGTCGCTGTAGATCCATGCTTGGCTCTTTACCCTTTGGTGACACCGCTCTCCCTAAAACGAAAGAGAAAGCCTGAACACTGGTGCTCAAGCTGGCGCTATACTCAGGCCAAGCTCACTAGCAATCGGGTTTTGTGGGCTGTGAAGCTGAGCCCCCTGGAAGTGGGTCACAGCAGGGGAGCGGGTGAAGAGCAGGGAGATGAGAAACAGGGGGCATGCTGGGATAGGGGTGGCTGGGCCTGGAAATACTGTCCACACTTCTCCCTCCCTGTTTGGCCTAGGAGGCAGGCTGTGGTCACATCTACTCTCCCAGGCCCACTTTAAATATTCTGGGCTCAAGTCTGGCTCTGCTCAGGAGAAGTCAAAAGTCCAGCTCAACACCCGCCTCTGCCTCGTGACCCCAGCAAAGCTCCCACCAGGTCACACTTCGGGGCAGGACAGAATCCCAACGGAGCCTCCATGGACTTCTCAGAGCCTTCCCCCAGTTAAGGAGACCCCATCCCTCCAGCCTCAGGAAGAGGCTGACAGTGATCCTTTGGCCAGGACCGGTCCTTTCTGCTTTTCGGACCTCACAGAAGCTCCGTGTGGCCACTCACGCAGCCAAGTCAGGAGAGCGGGCCAGAGTGCGAACACTGCACCCAGTCGGAGGCTCCACTGGGTACGGGAAGGGGCTGACCGGGTGCTAGGGGTCTACGGCCGAGGCAGAGGCCAGAACCCCCCATCAGCAAACAGGGCCAACCTGGGGTGTGGACGAGCCGTCTGGAGCTCGAGGGAGGAGCAGGTGAGGCAGTGGGCAGCCGAGATGCTCGTGGCGTTGGAGGCACTCCATGAGCAGGGGGTGCTGTGCCGGGACCTTAACCCACAGAACCTGCTTCTGGATCAGGCAGGTAGGAGCCCTAGCACCCCTGCTCCAAGTCCACTCCTCGGGTGGGAGCCCAGAGGTTTTAAGGCTACATGTTGTCTCTCCCCACTCCCGTTCATCATCTGGCCCCTTATGAGGACCCGAGTCTGGGGTTGTACACTCTGCAGGCCCTTAGGGAGACTCCACTTGGGATGACCTTCAACCCCTAACATGACTGTATTGGGGGAAGCCTTGGGACCGCTTAGGAATTCCAGCTGCTCAGTGATGCTACTTTCAACCTTTGCCCCATCATTCCTCCCTACACACCCTGGACAAGGTCACATCCGACTCACATATTTTGGCCAGTGGTCAGAAGTGGAGCCCCGGTGCAGCCAGGAGGCTGCAGATGGCCTATACAGTGCTCCAGGCAAGAAGGGAGTTGGGGGAGGTGTCTAGATCTTGGGTGCTTTCTCGTGTGGGTTAAAGACAGGGGAAGGGCAGTGGGTACCAGAATGCCAACAGAAAGGGCCATCTTACGTGTTCTTGTTCTCGCAGAGGTCGGGGGGATTTCTGAGCTGACTGAAGCCTGTGACTGGTGGAGCTATGGGTCACTTCTGTATGAACTGCTCACGGGAACGGTGAGTAGCTGGGCAGGGTATAGAGCCCTGATGGGGATCACAGAGGAAAGGCCGAGCAAAGGCTTCTTAGCCAGCCAGGGTCAAAACAGAGGCCGCCTGGTTCTCCATGCCTGACTTTTGGGCTGGACGTCCTTCTACCTACCAGACCACCAGCAATAGAGGAAGTCACCAGGCTGTCAGAGCACACGAGGGACTACTGTTAGGAAGACAGTCAATTTCTATGAATTACATGAGCTGGGATAGCTAGAGGTTTAGGGAAGAGCATGCCTGGCTTGAGGGTTGGAGAAGCCGCAACCCCTCCCCGGAAGGTTTCTGGGTCATGTCCTAAATCTCCTTAAATCTCCTCCTATTGTTCATCCCCACTCACCCTCCAAGGCTGTGATCCCTAGATCTGGAAGGCGGGAGAAGGTTCTCACATCCAAGCCAGCTTGGTCAAGCAAGCCCACTCGCAGGCTGGGGAGGTGGTTCCGTGGGTAAAGTGCCTGCTGCTGCAGGATGAAGGCTTGGGTTTGGTTCCCCAGCAACATGTGAAAGTCAAGTGGAGTCCAGTGAGATAGAGAGCAATAGAGGAAAGACATCCATCTCCATCCAGCCTCTGGTCTCCACTGCACACAGCAGAGAGAGAGAGAGAGAGAGAGAGAGAGAAACAGAGAGAGAAACAGAGAGAGAAACAGAGAGAGAAACAGAGAGAGACAGAGAGAGAGACAGAGAGACAGAAAGACAGAGACAGAGAGAGAGAGAGAGAGAGAGAGAGAGAACCCACTTGATAAGACTTTTTGCCCTCTTCACTCCTCTCAAATGGGCCCAGAACTACAGCTAGGGCCAGTTAGGTTGGAAACAAGGGAGAGGACAGACTACAGTTGAGCAGGAAACAGTTTGCATGGCTCCAGCAAACCACTGCATGACCCAGAGGCCAGACCTGACTTGCTTGTTTCCCATGCTCAGGGGCTCTGAGCACCCTTTATACAAACACCCCTAGGCCCCACATGGCTCCCCTGCCTCTCTTCTTGCTACGCATCCTTACCTTGCATACTTCTGCCTCTCTCCACATTACTGCCTGGCTGCGGGCCAGGCCTGCCATCTCCTGTGTGGAACCATTTTTTCTGTAAGGAAAGAAGTTCTAAGGTTGTTCCCAATAGTGTCCACCCTAAAGACAATGGAGAGAATGCTTTCAACAAGCTGCAGGTTCAAACCCCAATGCTAACCCAAGTCCCCTTTCCTGGACCAGTTTCTTGTCTTTAGTGTCAAGGGTCTAGCTCCGTGTCTGGGTCATCAGTAGATCCTAGCAAAAGGCAACTATCAACATCATCTTACCCCTGTAATGTGCCATGGGAGTGGGCCAAGTCCTGGCTGCCGCTAGGGTGTAAGCTTCCCAAAGTGGCTTCTTCAGTGCCTCTCCTTGTGTCCCCCTCCTCTCCAGGCACTGTCCCAGAGCCACCCCTCAGGATTCCAGGCCCACACCCAACTTCAGCTGCCTGAGTGGCTCAGTCGCCCAGCAGCCTCACTGCTGACTGAGGTAAGGTATTGGCTGGCTTATTGGTATGTGGGCAGGAGTGAGGGGTTGGGGGATGGGAGGAACCACCTGTCCAATGTAAGCTGGAAAACACTAGGGCAATAGGAGAATAAAGGCCCATGCATGCCTGTGCCAGCTACCACCAGCATCATGGGGCAGGGGAATGAGCACCCTGAGGGTTGGTGATAGGAGTTCCAGGAGGTGGGTGCCTACCTCCATGACGGGAAAGGATGCCCTGATTCTTTCCCCACAGCTGCTGCAGTTCGATCCCCAGCGGCGCCTAGGTGCTGGAGGTGGGGGCGCCAGCAAACTCAAGTCCCACCCCTTTTTCAGTACTATCCAATGGAGCCGACTAGTGGGGTAAGGGGTGGGTAAGTAGAAAAAGAAGATTGTCTGGATTGTCTGCCACCTGGCTGGCCCTCGTCAGTGAACTTCAGGGGCCGAAGGTGGGGCAGTAGCCCGCTTTACCTGCTCAGAACCTGCTTGGGCCTCAGACTGGTGACTGCTTCTGTCCTAAAGAAGTCAGCCCGTAACTGTTGGGAGAGGCGGTGAGGTGCGCCTTGCTGAGCAGCCTACACCCATCAGCAACAGATGCCTGTTGGACTCACACCCTTGGCTGGGGCCTCTCATGTTAAAGGCGGCCTTCTGTTGCTCTAGCTCCAAACGTCTCAACACCTGCGGAGCCGACTGACAACCTTGGTGACACTGCCCTATTGTACACCACTTACGACACCTCAGGACACTGATCCCATGGCTCAGTAGACCCAATCCAAGACTGTCCTGGGTCCATTTTCGCAGGCTGCTTCTACCAGCTGCTTGCTCCCACGGGTGTTGGGCACTCGGAAGTAGGTTATTCTGTAGGGCTAAGTGGGGAGAGGTGAGGAAGTATGGCCCACTGACATTGGAGAATCAACTAAGGGGAAGAGACGTCAGCAGGGTTAAGAGTGGGTAAGAATGCACTTTTAGCACTCAGACTGAGTTTGCAAACAGAATAAAGAGCTTTATTCTTTGGCTGGCTCTCCTGTGTCAGAAGGTCTGCCCCACAGGCAATCGCAGTCTTCCCTCAGGTTGGTTCCATTCTGCATTTTGATATGGAGTTTATTCAATCCACTGTCCGCTTATAGAATGAGCCACCACAGAACATACGGACCCATTTTACCCAATGTTTTAAGTCCGGTATTGCTGGTTTCTGAAGAACTAGGTAAGTGGGTATCTGCAGACAATCCTTTCCCTAGGTTTGAGAACTTGCCTCAGGGCAACCCAGTCCCTGAGGTGTGGAAAATGCAACAAATTTCACTTGACCAATCTCCAGATCCCTCCAGTGTTACAACACAGGTAGCATCTGGTATAGTTCACCAATCGAGCAACTCAGCAAACACGTGTGTGTGCGTGTGTGGGGGTGACATGATGAGACACCCACTATTCCTGGTGCTGGCTGAGTCTGGAGCAGAGGACAAGGAAAGCGCAGCTGCTCCATGGCTGGAATCCCAGCAGCCCCCAGGTCCACTCTAATAAAGCCTTCTCTTTTGGTGGCATCTTTGCCTCATTATTGCAGTCAAAGTGGTCTGCAAGGAAGCAGCCCCTGCTCTTCCAGAACAGGCTCAGGAAAAGGAGGAAAGGGAAGAGACGCCCTAGAAGACCATGGTGTCTGAGGAAAACACTACCTTCATCTCCGTAGTGAGCCCATGGATGATCCTCCTGAGAAAACAGAGGTTCTGGAGAGGTTAACTTAGAACCAACCGCTAGAGCTGGCTCACAAGTGTAGGCTCCTGTGGTAGACCATGCAAGCCAACTTCTGCCATTGCTTACTTATGGCACACTGCTGAGCCATCAGTTTGGATCACCAAGGTCCCAGCTCTGACAGCAGCTACTCCAGAGTTGCTGGAAACATTGTATCTGGTAGCAGGTCTAGCACTACACCTGACACACAATTCACTGAACCCACCTACCAGCTTCCTCTTCCTGCGACAGGTCTCTGCAGGAGGGCCTCACTGCAGGCAGGATCAACAGATGGGATTCTGTGTGAAGTAAGGCTGGGAGGGGTAAAGTCCACCCTCCATCATACCCATTATCTCTTATGGTCACCCTAGGAAGTGACCAACCCTGTCCTGTCCCCTCACATACTACTGCTCCTAGGCGACCTCTCTGTTTATTCTAACCACAAACATCTTGGTACACATGTGACAACTAAGTCCAAGTGAAATTAGAAGTGCTCATGTCTCTCCACTCCATCTCAGAAATAACACAAGTCCCTCAAAGGGGCAACTGTTCCCCAGTGTTTTAAAGGGCTTCACATAGGTAGGAGCTACGACATCTCTTCAAGAGTTGGCTTGTCACAACTGTAGGGCTCCCTGAAAGGAACCCAGGGTACTAAGTGGTTTGTGGGTGCCCCTGGCTGGCAGTTAAATTAGCATAGCCCTAACATGTCTTAAGTATGAGATGGGGGCCTCAGGACACCACAAGATAGCAACTCAAGAAGTACTTTTCAATGATAAAGACACTGTGGCTGCCAACCAGGGGTTGTACCTCAAGGGCCAAAAGGAGCACAGATGCTAGAACCCTGTTTGAGAACATTTGCCTTTTAATTTCATTCAAAATCAGCCTCTTTAAATATTTTAGTTACAAGTTCTGGATGGTGAAGATGTAGTAGCAGATGCCGCAGGCACTCAATACTGGCCTCTCCCCCTTCCCCCAGCTTGTCCTGGATGACAGAAAAAAGGGCATTTAACACTGTGGCCCCGTATCAACTGTCAGCAGCCTCAGGCCTCAGTGCAGAGGACACAAGGCCTAGGAGCTTTCATACCTAGTCACTTGCGGTTTCCCATGCTTCAAGAAATTCCAGTGATTGTGCCAGCAGCCAAAGGGCAGTGTCTTAGAGATGACATCAGCTCTTCCATCACTCTGGACTGACTCCTGAGACTGGATCCCACCTCAATCCATCCTCCCCTGTATCTGTTTCCTGCTAGGGGTGCCAAGACCTTGCTCCCCACAAGCCACACCCAGAAAGGGAGAGAATAGCCCCTTCCTATCACATGCTGATACCACCTTGAATTTGAGAGCGCTAGCCAACCTGATCTGGTCAGAGCCAGTCCCTTCACCAGGCTCTTCACTCACTCACTGCCATGATGTACTAAAAATCTGCTCTGAATGCGAACAATGTCCTAGGACGATCCCCAGAACCCTGGGAAGGGTTGGTATGACCATAATTGGATGTGATTATGCCAAAATGAATCTTCCCAGTGTGAGCTTACAATGAAGCCTGTGAGGCAAGTCAGGGTTCTATTCCCATCTGGGATTATAAAAGGTAACCTCAGGGGACTTCACACCACGTTGCCTATCCCCAAGACCCCGGGCTTCCTGGAGAGGTAGAGAGGCATCATGAAGCCACTGACAGCTCAGAATGGTGGTGCATTTAAGAAGCAAAGCAGCGCCTCTTTGCCTGTGTCCGATTACCTCCACACAGGCGGCATCAGCTGAGAATATGCACAGCTGGGACAGAGGCTTAGCGCCTGGAAGGCGGAGCACCCCCTAGGCATCTCTGGAGAACACTTTCCAAAGACAAACTTGGTCACATGGTCCCTGGTGGCATCCCTGTAGCATACTGTTCCTGGGGAGAAACAAAACTGTCTTTGCAGAGGGCTGGAAGAAAGGCGGGATATCAATGGGCATCCAGTAGGGCTCTCACTCTCTCTCTCTCAAGAGAAGGACACACACAGAGAGAGGAAGAGTCTAGAAGGAGCACGAAGGAAAGACCTGTGAAAGCTGGTTATATAGTGCCCTGGCTTCCTTGCTTGAGGCCAACAGTATGGTGCCTGCCTGTTGTCAGGCGAACTCTGGGACTGATGAGGGGACAGGGAGAAGACTGTTTCAGTTCCTGCATGATCGATAGGTAGGGGGCGTGGCTTCCTCCTAAAGGTCTAGGAGGAGGACTCTTGGATCTTCTACTGCTGCCTTGATTTTTCGGAGGAAAGTCACAGCCTCTCTGCCATCAATCAGCCGGTGGTCATAGGTCAGGGCTACATACATCATAGGTCGCACTTCCACCTACAGAGGAGAGCAACAGGTTTGTATCCAGCAGGTCAGAGAAAGCTCCACTGAGGGGAGGGGTGAGAACAAAGCCCATACTAGCATTCCCAGTTCCAAGTCTTTCCTGCAGGGATGCCTCAGGGCAATGTGGGTTTATTCTGAAGACCAAGCTAATCTTTAGTGCAAACCTCTGGGATTCAGAAGCAAGATCCAAACAAGGAAACAGGTCCCTCAAACCACCTTAAAAAAATATGCAATGCCACATTCTACCGGCTAATCTATCTGCTCCCTAAAGAAAGGTATTCTCTTCAGTGTGGCTGTCAAGAGAGATATTCTGAAGTTACAATCTTTTCTTTTTGTTTGTTTGTTTGTTGCTTTTTGTTTTTCGAGACAGACTTTCTCAGTAGCTATGGAGTTAGTCCTCAAACTAGCTCTTGTAGACCAGGCTGGCCTCGAACTCCAAGATCCGCCTGTCTCTGCCTCATGAGTGCTAGGATTAAAGGGTGCATCCAGCGGTTACAATCTTTGTTATTGTTTGTTTTTCAAGACAGGGTTTCTCTGTGTACATCTCCACCCCCACCACTTGAACTCCCTCAGTGACCTGGCTGGCCTTGAATTCAGAGATAGCCTCTGCCTCCTGAATGCTAGGATTTAAAGGCACGTGCCACCATTGTCGGGCTGAAATTACAATCTTTATTACTATTATTTTTTTTTCAATGATGTGGATCCAACGCTAGGCCTTGAGTATGCTAGGCAAGCATCCTACTACTGAGAAATATCCCCAACCTTTTGAAGTTACAATTTAAAGAGGAAAAATGTATACTGTTTTTTGTTTGTTTGTTGTTGTTCTTTTTGCAAATAGTCACATGTAGCACAGGCTGTTCTCAAACTCACTGTAAAATTAAGGATGACACTACAATCTTGGGTCTCTGGCTCTACTTCCCGAATGCCGTAACTACAAGCACGTACTATCACGCCTGGTGTATCAAACTAGGGGCTCTGAACACGCTAGGCAAACACTTTACCACTAGTTTATATCCATAGTCTGAGGGGGAAAATTCATCTTCTGAGTTCAAATTTCCTGCTATCTGCCAGGTGTGGTGGCGCATACCTTTAACCCCAGCACTCAGGAGGTAGAGGCCAGATCTCTCAATTCAAGGCCAGCCTGGTCTATGCGGAGAGTTCAAGGATGGATAGGGTTACACAGAGAAACCCTGTCTTGAAAATCCATAAATAAAACAAGAATCTCTTATGTATAAAGTTAGGCGTGTAACTGTTTTGCAGAAAGAAGACCCACGGTTTTTGGATGTACAAGGGACTTTGTGACCCACACACATTCCAGACACAGCAGTCTCAGAAATCTCTTTATTTTTAAACTTATCTTCCAATGGCTAACTCAAGCTCTTTGGCCTCAATCCTTGACCTCCCAGAAAACTTCTAAGTTTCTCACACAATTCTATAGCTCACAGACTGCAGTGCACTGCGCGGTTTCCCAGGGCCTCCCAGTCTATCCATCCCTGACTCCCTGGGGCACTCTGACAATGAAGCATGTCAACAAGTCCTAGAGGTGAGGCCTGGGTGGAAGTAGTTAGCTCAGGAGTTCTCAGACTTTAACATACCAGAACTGTCTACATGTCTGCTTCTGTAGTTAATTTGTTTTTTCAAAAAGAAAAAAAATTATTTTAATGTGTATGAGCATTTTGTCTGCATGCATGCATGCATGTGTACCATGTGCATGTCTGGTACCTGAAGAGGACAGAAAAGAGTGCCTGATCCCTCAGAGCTGGAATTACTAATGGCTAATGCTGAAAACTGAACCCAGGTTCTCTGCCAAGAGCAGCAAATGCTCTTAACTGCTGATTCATCTCTCTAGCCCAGCGCTTGCTTTTTTAACAAATTCCCAGATGACGCTGACATCTACAGATCAGTTTGAGAAGCAGTGCCTTAGCTATTATTTAGTAATTAAAGAAATGGAACTTAAGCCT